ACTGTTTCCATGTTTCCCATGTTTTTTGCCATCAAGTGATGGGGTCAGATGCCATGATCTTAGTTATTTGAATGTTGAGTTTTAAGCCAGCTTTTTCACTCTCCTCTTTCACTTTCATCAAGAGGCTCTTTAGTTCCTCTTTGCTTTCTGCCATAAGGGTGGTGTCATCTGCATATCTGAGGTTACTGATATTTCTATCAGTAATCTTGATTTCCACTTGTGCTTCATCCAGCCTGGCATTTCTCATGATGTACTCTGCATATAAGTTAAATAAACAGAGAGACAATGTACAGTCTTGACGTACTCCTTTCCCAATTTGGAATAAGTCTGTTATTCCACGTCCAGTTCTAACTGTTGCTTCTTGACCTGCATACAGATTTCTCAGGAGGCAGGTAAGGTGGTCTGGTATTCCCATCTTTTCAAAAAATGTCCACATTTTGTTGTGATCCACACATACAAAGGCTTTAGCATAGTCAATGAAGCAGATGTTTTTCTGGAATCCTCTTGCTTTTTCTGTGACCCAGTGGATGTTGGCAATTTGATCTCTGGTTCCTCTGCCCTTTTTGAATCCAACTTGAACATCTGGAAAGTCTCAGTTCACATACTGTTGAGGCCTCGCTTGTAGAATATTGAGCATTACTTTGCTAGCGTGTGAGATGAGCGCAATTGTGTGTTGAACATTCTTTGGTGTTGCCTTTCTTTGGGATTGGAATGAAAACAGACCTTTTCCAGTCCTGTGGCCACTGCTGAGTTTTCCAAATTTGCTGGCATTTTGAGTGCAGCACTTTCACAGCATCATCTTTTAGGATTTGCAATAGCTCAGCTGGAATTCCATCACCTCCACTAGCTTTGTTTGTAATGATGCTTCCTAAGGCCCACTTGACTTCACACTCCAGGATGTCTGGCTCTAGGTGAGTGATCACATCATCGTGGTTATCTGGGTCATTAAGATCTTTTTTGTATAGTTCTGTGTATTCTTGCCACCTCTTCTTAATACCTTCTGCTTCTGTTAGGTCCATACCGTTTCTGTTCTTACCAGATACTAAGACCAGCTGTTTTAGGCAGAGGTTCTTATTTTTCTGTCACATGACTTTGCGTGATAAATTCTGGATTCTTTATGAAAGTAGATCTATGACTTTCGGGTAAAATATTTGTTAAAATTGTAATAAAATGTCTAGTTATATTTGAACATCAGGTAACCATAATGTTCCAGAAATCCGTCCGAAATCTGAAAGTGAGAAAAAAGGCCTGAATTCCAGAAATAGTTGACCTAAAAGAACATTAAATATAGCCCTCAGGCTCTTAGGCATTTATTAACATACACATTTTGACAGTTTCCTTTCTGGTTCCTTTGGCTCACAAAAAATTTAGACAGGAAATGAGCTTGTGAAAATGTGATTAGTAATGAATGAGGCTGAAGATAGCAGAAGTCAAATGATTTCCAGTGTTTAAAACGGCAGAAAAAGGTTGAAAGAATTGCCAAAGTAATTTCTGAAATTGTCATGTACCCTCCCCCATTTTCCTTAAAAATGCCTCCCCACCCCATAAAGACATCATCAAATAAAATCTGCAGAGCTTTTCAGTGAGGTATACATGTGATACACACTTTAATTGAATTCCCTATACCTCCAGACAAAAGATAAGATATGGCCTTTGCCCTCTTCCAGTAAGTATTACTAGACCTTCACTGTGCTTTGCCCCACTTTCCTCCTGTCTCATTCCTGCCTAAAGAGACATGAGCCTTTGACTTCCTCAGTTAGTATGCATTGGCTGCAGTGTTGCCAAGTGTTTGCCATGGAATAGCATAGAATTTGCAGGTTTAAAGTGTTCATTGGTCTTTTCCCTGCTTCTTTATAACAGCATGCACATTCATGACCATTAATAAATGGAGGAGGGCATGGCAACCCACTCCAGTGTTGCCTGGAGAATCCCATGGACAGAGGAGCCTGGCGGGCTACGGTCCATAGAGTCGTACAGAGTCAGACGTGACTAAAGCGACTTAGCACGCGTGCACTCTGAAAATGGCTTTACTGTATAGCAGAGCAGAGATTCTGGAGTCAGATGAACCTGCAATTACTGTCACCTCTGGTTTGGCAACTTGCTCTCATCTTTCTGTATCTTGGTTTTTTCTTTTATGGGGATAATAACAGCATTTAACTTTTGGGGTTATGATGAAGTTAACTGAGAAATTTGTTAGTTGCTGTTATTACATAATAAGTTTCAATAATTGTGCAATTGCTTGATGTTAGCTCTTATCTCCTTTCTTTTCTGATGGAGTCCTCTCTGGAAACCCTTACCCAGTATTTTTGTTTTGGGCCCTGAAGTGTTAAATTTTCTCCAGACTTAGCTGCAACATTTGCAAATTCTGTGATAGCACATAAAAATGTGAATTTCCGGGTTTCTCTTCTAAAATGGGGAAACATAGCGGCATTGGCCTGGAACGTTTACTTGTGGAGCTGGATTGCAGGTGCTCTTGAGAGGTAAAAGGCACATATCTGCCTTGGTCCTCACCGAGACTCCCTCATGCATTTGTGTCACCAGCCTGCCCCCACAGAGGTCTGAAGCCTCCCTCCACTTCTCTCTGCACCTGGATCGTCTGGCTTTTAGAAGGTGTCCTGCAAGAGGCAGATCTAGTGACATCTGAACCCCCTACATCACCTTGGTGTGAAGACTTGGGCTTCTCTTTATGGATTTAGAGTGCAGCCTTGTCAGTGACTTTATGACCAAATTAGGACTTATTTTTAGCTTGTGAATTTTTAGTTTCTGAATTTTGTCATGGTAAGGGTATCTATTGCTAAAGCAGTTTCTTCTAAAATGTAGAAGATCGACCCTTCTCTTTTGACTCGGTGGATGGTGATAGATGAAAATAACTGTAGCTCTATGGTAAACTTGCTCAAGTGCAGAAGTTATATTTAGCTTTTGCAATAGGAGTCTGTAAAACTATGTGAGAGGGAAAGGGCTTGCTAACTGGAGTCATGCTTCAAACCTTTTTACCAGAGGTTCCATAGAAGTTGCAAAGACCAGGGCAGCATTTAATTTTTGATTTGCAGTTGGCAGCTGTTAAGAATGCTTGATATTTTTTCACTTGAACATTAAATTCAGTTATAGGGGTAACCAAAGTGTTGTTCTTTGTAGAACTGACAGTTGGTGCAGGAATACCAAGATTCTTCCTAACCTGCAGTAAATAAACTTCCTAGAGTCTGAACACTTGAATTACTGCTCAGTACCCAGCTCACAGCAACCCACCTGGCAGGCTACAGTCCATAATGTCGCAAAGAGTCGGACACGACTGAAGCGACTTAGCACGCACGCACACACCCGGCTCATAGTAGGCATCCAGTCAGATTTTGCTGAATGAATGCTACGTGGACAAAGATATGCTTTAGATAAGGGTTAGGGAGCTACTGTCCGATCTGGCCTGTGACCTGTTTCTGTACAGCCTGGGAGCTGATTACACTTTTTACGGTTTTAAAGGATAATATTCAAAGAATATGTGACAGAGATCCTTTGTGGCCCATAAAACCAAAAATGTTTGTTTTCTGTCTCTATTTACAGAAAGTTTGCTGATCCCTTCTTTAGATGATGGAGGCGCTCACTCCTCTCTCCTTTTCATTTATACTTTGCTGTTAGAAACATAAATAATTGTTGTAGGTGGTGGCATCGTGGTGGGATGTTTGTGACCTACTAAACAGGGCAGAGAGATTGCCAGACATATGAAGGCTTTTAATAGGAAACAGAGAAACTGCTTCTGCTGAATGTTTAATAAAATCTAGACTGACTTGGTGTTTGTAAGTCTTCAAGAACTGCTTGAACATGTCATTGAGTTTTTACTATATGGTGTCACCAAGAACTGGAAGAAAACTTTGAAATCCTCTTATTCAACCATTCATGAGTAAAGTATGGTGAGGAAATAAAGGACTTCTCAAAATGAAAGCACTTTATAGAAACAAGGCTTTTCCCAAACTGATGTATTTAATGATTTTTTTTTAATTGAAGATTTTGAGATGAGGATTACTAAAATGGGAGCATTTAGTCTGTTCACTGCAGTCCCTGGAGGGCCCAGTGAAATATGACAGTATAACCTCAACTCTGGCAAGTTCCTAAACCTCTGTTTTTTCCTTAGTGTCTTCATCTGCTGATAGCAGTGCCTACCTCATAAAATTGTTAGGAGGAATAAATGAGTCTGTATTTGTAAAGCACTTAAAACTGTGTGTGGTACTAATACATCAGTAGTAAGAACTGGGTTAGTGTTTGCTAAATAAAGAAGGCAGTGGCTAAAAGAATGCTGCTGCTGCTGCTAAGTCGCGTCAGTTGTGTCTGACTCTGTGAGCCCACCAGGCTCCTCTGTCCCTGGGATTTTCCAGGCAAGAACACTGGTTGCCATTTCCTTCTCCGGCTAAAATAATAATAATGGTCAATTTTATTATTAGGTTTAAAAGTTTGAGGAGTCTTCATTGGCAGTTAAAACATTTATTACTGGAGAGAAAGTGCTTCTGATCCTTAATAAAATGCTAGAGCTGATATTTTGGGTATTTGAGACATAGTCTCCTTGCACCGTTATTGCTTAGTCAGATATATGTCTGATTCATTCAGCTTATATAAATCTTGAATCACTTGTTGGTACTTTAAAATCATTTTCAGTAGTTAATTCTCATGATAGCTTTCCAGTCTTCCCATTTTAGAAGTTGAATACTTATAGTAGAGCTGGAGGGGTAAGGTGGTGACCTTTGTTACGCTTTCTGATTTTAGAGGAGACAGTATCAACTATTTGGTAATGTACTCCAGAGGAAAATGAATCATATCTATTAACTGTTTTAATTAGATTTTGAAATTCCTGAATTGAGCCTGGCAGCTTATTGAAATATCCATATTGTTTTTACCAAATCTCCAAGGAGTATGCCTATAGTAGTTTGGCATTTACATGGGATGTATTTATTTGAAGGTTTAATTTTAAAACTTTACTTGAATTTTGTCTTTAATTGGCTGTTATTTTCTTACAGTTTGCAGTGTTGATGTGGGTATTTACCTATGTTGGTGCCTTGTTCAATGGTCTGACTCTACTAATTTTGGGTAAGTCTACAGAACCAATAGAATGAAAAATTTTTTAAAAGATGGGGGACTTCCTGGAGGACTAGTGGTTAGGACTCCCATATTTCCACTGCAGAGGCCATGGGTTTGATCCCTAGTGTGGGAACCAAGATCCTGCATACTGCACAGTAAAAAAAAAAAAAAAAAAAAAAAGGTGTGCAACGAACTTCAAGATATTTTAGTGGAAAATATTCTTATATTGTAGGAAAAATACAGGGATATACATTAGAGGTTGTGATCTTCTTAAATAAATTGCTAATACTTACACTGTTTATGAAAATGCCACTTTACTTCCTGAAGGCTACTCCAACAGTGATAAACCAGATCAAGAGTGGCCTTATTTGATGTGCAGTTGTATGTCTAACTAACAGGGATGCCTGTATTTTATAAAGTCTGTAATGTGAAGCCGGGAGTGGCTCCTGACTCCCTTGGTTAACTCATTGCTCTGCCCACCAGCAGCTGTGTCTGCCCGGAGTAGGAACAGTCCTGGCTATCTTAAGAGTGCTGCCAGTTTGATGACTTCGGTGTGATTTAGAAACAAACCCTGCAATCTACTTTAAAGCTTGTGTATTTCCTTTTTCAGCTCTGATTTCACTCTTCAGTGTTCCTGTTATTTATGAACGGCATCAGGTAATTTAACTGCAGATTGCAGAATACAAAGCTCATTCTCTTATGTGGAACTTAGAAATGTCAGTGCCAGTTTCCAAAACCTTATAAAAATGAGAAATGTGGCAGTTTAATTAAATTAATCTAAGCCTTTAATGTGTTGGAACACAGTTCTAAGATGTTTTTAGCAATGGTAATTTTCTAATAAATTCTTTCTCTCTTTCAGGCGCAAATAGATCATTATCTAGGACTTGCAAATAAGAATGTTAAAGATGCTATGGCTAAGTAAGTATTTAAAATCTGCACTTTTTTTTACACCAAGGCTAGGTATACTGGACTTTGACAACAGTGCAGTATTTTCATGTCAAGACATAGTAGTCAGTTTTAGTCAGACCTAAAGTGTGAGTTGCCGAAAGACTTTTTTTCTAACATTTAGATCGTTGATTCTGTGTCAGCTTACATGTATCTAAGGCTTTGAGTCTAATTTGTGAGGTCAAGGTGACAAATTTATAGCTTGTAGTTTGACAGCCTTAAGATTTTATTTCTTGTATAAGCTGAGCAATGTACATGTAAGTCTTGAAGGATAGACATTTTTAAGAGGCAGAAAACAGAATATTGTAAATTCACAGTATTTACACTGACTTTTTCCCCCTCCTTCTCATTTGTAGAATCCAAGCAAAAATCCCTGGATTGAAGCGTAAAGCTGAATGAGAAAGCCTGAAATAGTTAATAGGAGTTTATCTTTAAAGGGGATATTCATTTGATTCCATTGGGGAGGGTCAGGGAAGAACACAGCCTTGACATTGCAGTGCAGTTTCACAGATCTTTATTTTTAGCAACGCAGTGTCTGAGGAAAAATGACCTGTCTTGACTGCCCTGTGTTCATCATCTTAAGTATTGTAAGCTGCTATGTATGGATTTAAATTGTAATCATATTTGTTTTTCCTGTATGAGGCACTGGTGAATAAAAAAAGATCTGAGAAAGCTGTATATTACACTTTGTCGCAGGTAGTCTTGCTGTATTTGGGGAATTGCAAAGAAAGTGGAGCTGAAAAAAATAACCCTTTTCACAGTTTGTGCACTGTGTATGGTCTGTGTAGATTGATGCAGATTTTCTGAAATGTTTAGACGAGATCATACCACCAAAGCAGGAGTGAAAAAGCTTGCCTTTTCTGGTATGTTCTAGGTGTATTGTGAAATTTACTGTTGTATTAATTGCCAATATAAGTAAATATAGATTATATATATATCTATATATAGTGTTTCACAAAGCTTAGACCTTTATCCTTTCCAGCTGCCCCACAGTGCTTGATACTTCTGTCATTGGTTTTATGTGTGTAGTTCCAAAGCACATAAGCTAGGAAAAAGACATATTTCTAGGTGCACTACCATCTGTTTTCAACATGAACCGATGCCATGCAAACAGAACTCAACATAAACTTCATTGCACAGACTTACTGTAGTTAATTTTATCACAAACTCTGGACTGAATCTAATGCTTCCAAAAATGTTTGCAAATATCAAACATTGTTATGTAAGAAATTATAAATGACGATTTATATAATTGTGGTTTAAGCTGTACTGAACTAAATCTGTGGAATGCATTGTGAACTGTAAAAGCAAAGTATCAATAAAGCTTATAGACTTAAAAGATGTTTCGTATTTTGGTTTCATGAACCTGCTGTAGAATGAAAGTATCAGACACAAAGGGTAGACTTTGCCTCCACCAGTGTGTGACTTCCAGAAAGGCTTTAAGCTCAGTGTAGCCATGTTTACTTTGAAAACAAGAACATGTCTACATAAATCTATTTGACACATACCAAAATGTTTTTAAATTATGTATTTTTATACTTTAATTGAAAATAAATTCATGCACCAATATTTTAACATAGGGAATACAGTGCAGGATTTATGAACATACATAAAATCATACCATATAAATGTTTACAAATCAGATTTAAGAACTTTTCTTGACACACAGACACTATTGCTCTTTAAATATAGTGTGTACATATATCATCATTGATAAATTTGTTCTTCACATAGTTATTTCAATGCAAGAGTGAGTCAGTATGAAAGGTCAGTGTACAATATAGGCAGACATGGTTATCGCTCAGCATCACCAGTCACATGGATACAGAAAACAGAATTAGGGCTGCATGGGGACTCTACCTGTGGGCCCAACAACCTATCAGTGGATTAATGTAAGGCATTAATAAATTGGCGTATAAAAATAGCTTAATGAGTGATCTAATCCATTTAGAATGTTGAAGCACTTCTGTGGTAAATGGTAATCTATTTAATTGAAAATGCTTCGTTTCACCATTCCTCTAAACTGACAGTTGAAAATAGCCAGTAACTCAAGATCCAGAATTTTAGTTCACTGACTAGAAGGTCTAATTGGTATAATCTATGTACTCAGAGTCCCAGTCTGTCACCAAGCTGCCTTCCAGCACGTGCCATCATCAGCCCCTCCTGTCAATGGTCAGCAAGTGTCAAGTATGATGGGCGGTGGTCCAGGGTGCTTCTGATTTTGTTGGCCAAGTCACATTCTGTCAACCAGCCAACTCTGAGCTAGATTAGTTTGTTCTGTAATCTTGAGTTATCAAATACTGCTTTGGGCTTAGGAATTTGTTCTGCAGAGATTTTTGAATCCAGAGCTGACCTGTGTCGTTCACCTGAAGCACACCCCTGGAGTCAAGTCCACCCCGCTCTGGGAGTGGCCCTCCCAGCGCGGCCTCCGGGCACCTCCTCTGTTAGCATTTTAGCTTGCGTAGGATGAATCAGCTCATCTTCCTGGACCTACTTAAGCTGTTTTGTTTTCCCTTCTTCTATTTTGTAGTAGAGGTTTATTTTATTTGAAATGTTTTGGATGTTGTGGGTTTGGCACTCAGTATAATGAAACCTATTCTACTCACCCATCTTCCAACACCTGAACTTAAGTTTCTTTGCTTCTCAACTTCAAATAGCCACTGTTTCCCAAGCACATAACTAATGTGTTTCCTTTGGGAAGCCTTGACCTAAACACATGACATGGGTGACCAGGAATCTGCTAGGATCCTGTAGCCCTCCTCAGTTTTGAAGTTTTAGCACCATACGTAGAAAGGAGATAATTTGTGGGAGGTGAGATTAGCAGCCCACACAACTGGAAGCATTCAAAGGCACTTAATGGATATAAAACTCTGCAAATGAAACATTAAAAAAATTAAGTTTCTCAACTTGTTTATACATGGCTCATTTGGTTTTGAAAGCTAAATGTGAACAGAGGCTATCAGTATTTCCAGTATTTCAGTGAATCTAACTTAAGCTGTCCTGTTCAACTTCCTTATTTGTAAAAATGAACATTTTTAAAGTATATAGAAACATAATAGCAAAACATCTTTTGTAAAAGTTTTGATGCAAATTAAAAGCTACATATTGGTTAGGGTAACTGAGGCTTTAAATTTTGTCAGTGGGCTACATTATCAGATAGGATTTCTTTGTCAGTGTAGTGAGTACGTGTAGTTTGTAGTCTCAGGAAGAGAGGCAAGCAGTCAACACGTCAGCACTGACCTTCCTTCTTGACATCCCAGTTTTGGAAGCTCCAGGTGATGGAAGCAGTCACATCTCACCAGCACTTGGAGCTCATGTGGCTTGTTGCGGTGTAGACCTTTCCCAGGAGCTGGCAGCCAGGAGGCACCCTGTCACGGCCTCTGTGGTTGCCAGCCGTGGCGGCAGCAGGAAAGCAGATTCTGGCATTTACAGGCATCGCCACACAAATACACTGAAAAGACAGACCAAACATTTTGCAGGGCTGGACATCATAACTTTTGCCAAGCGACAAAAGTCATTCTTGCCAAGAGCTCCAGAGTCAAGCTCAGGCTGAACATTTTGATTTCAGTTTTAAAAGACAAACCAGGGATCTTGCTACCAATTAAAGGCCTATTGGTTATTTTTTTTTTTAAGGTCTGTGTTATCTGTTTGGTCTGGCTCTTTCAGCATGTCCCTTCTGAACTGGACTGCTGGCAGCTTGACTTCACACTTCTCTCTTGTTACCACTGGAGAGGTTTTATCAGCTCCACTCAAGCAGGAGAGCTCTTTCTAGTGTTCAGCACAGGGCCAGGGGTGACAGGAGCCCATGGCTGCCAGGCCGAGGGGGCCCTGTGTTGGGAAGTTGCCATCCAAGCCCTTTATAGTGACCGACAGCCCCCTCAGATCTCCGGGTTAGCGTCTGTCTCCTGCGGCTGCTTGTTCACGGTTGGGTTGGTGCTGCTTTGGTTGGGGGTCCTCCCCCCACTCCCCACCCCGGGAGCTGCTGGCAGCCCTTTCTCAACAGCTCTAAGTGCCTGCGGCGGTTGACACAGTGCCCTGGAGATGGATGTTCCCCAGGGGGCCAGTAGAAAGCATCCTTTGGGGCCATTTTCTACACAATGCTTTTGGGTAGAAAGTGGGTTAAAATTCTCTACAGGTACCTTTTCCACAACCTTACTCAGACTACTAAAAATGCGTTTCTTCTTGATGCCCCTTTGAGCCCAGCCCTCAACTGAACAGAAACCAGTATTCATGTTTCTGTAAAGCTCTTCATCTACATGAGATGTGGAGAAGCTGAATGACTTTGGATGACATCGTGCTGCTCCCCCACACTCCAAATAAGAAAGGCCCTTGGAGGGACACGAGAGAGCTCCTTGGAGGTTCTGATAGCATCTCTGGAGTAGGCTGCTAGGGGGTTCTTCCAAAACTTTGGAAGACCTCATGCCTCCCAGAGCATGGGGCCTGTTTCTCACTGAGCAGTGGTGAAGGTTAGGGGCAGACCCAGTTCAGGAGTCCACACAGCTGGGTGAGGTTCTCCAGCTTCTAACTAGCATGGGTCCTAATGGCTTTACCCCTTGTCTGATTTCACGTGTAAAACCGGGTAACGTGTTCTGCCTGACTGAGGCCCAATATTACTATTTGTAAACCTCTCACAGAGTTGTGGATTAATCATCCATGTTAAGAACTCTAGTGATGAACTGGAAGTTCTGAGTTATAAGGCCCATGGATCAAGGTCACTCTAAGCTCCTGATTATATGCAGTGGGTGCTGCGGGCTCTCCGGCAGCTCCTACTGAAATCGCCACGTGGAGGTTGGGTCTCTCAGCACCTGCCCCTCCAACCAGCAATGCTCAGAGTAGCTCTGATCTGCCCTTGGCTTCTCTCCAATCCCAGGCCAGCCTAGTGGGGACAGAGGCCCATCACAGTTAGGGTTTGGGGTCACCGGAGACTAAATACCTTACACTGGGCAAGTCCTCACTGCATCTCCTGGTCACTTCCTACACCAGCCCCTCCCGTGCCCCTGGGAGGAGCTGACAATTGAGGTGGGGATGGTAGGGGTGAAGGCCAGGCCTCGGGGCAGAGCCAGATGAATCAGGTTGGTACCTGCAGTCGTCTCCTCCAGTGCTGACTACATACTTGTCGTCATGAGAGAAACGGATGTTCGTCACATGAGCTGAGTGACCGAAGTAACGCTTATGTTTGGCCTGTGAGCAAAAGGGAATTGAGGTGACTAAGACAGCCTCTTTCAGCAACCCTGGACTACTCCCAGGACCCTGCTCCATCTCCCAGGCTTCCCTTCACCCTCAGGGTGCCTATTAGGTCTGGATGTCTCTGGGAGCCAGCCCTTCACTGGCTTCCTGCCTCCCTGTTGCCCTGCTTGGTACCCTTACCCCCATCCTCCTGGCTTCCAAGACTTCCCCTC